AAATGCATATGTAGTAAGTAGCTGGAGGTAATGTTCCCTCTAGAGACTCAGAAATTTATTTTAATGTGAAACAAAAATATCAGAGTACTAAAGCTCTCAGGCTTTTTGTTCCCTTTGCAAGAAAATCCTCAAGGGAACCCAGATAGAAAAATTCATTCTAAAGAGATTAACAAAATCCAATTAACCTGGTAAAACCATTAAGTAAATTAGCAAACTAAGTAATCAGAATGTTGTCCTTTTTTTTTGTTTGCTTAATACTAACATTAATAGCTTAACATAGTAAATATTTAACAAATTAAAGCCCCCCCCTTTTTTTTCCCTCTGTCACACACAAACATAGATAAGTTTATGCATTTAAGATAGTTTTATTTAAACTGAAAAACTGAAGATTCTCTGAAAAAAGTGTACTATAGTTGCTCAAGAATCAAATTTGATGAATATTGCCTCCAGTGGATATAGAAAGACAGTGTGTTTGTATTTTAGTATATTTTGTGCATATATACACTATGTACATAGACAAATAAATACAATTATAACTGTATTCATATCTCTGCATGTGTACATATTATATGAATATATACACATGCAGACACATATACGTATATTCATCAGATCTCTTCTTAAATTTACAGTTGATCAGACAAATTAGAATAATTCACCACTGAAAGAAGCAAAATTGAAGTGTTCTTCTCCATTTACTATCACACAAAGAGTAAATTGTACACTTTAGATAAACCCATAATCTATAGGTATTTCTTATCCAAACCTTACAAGCTTCACATTGAATTTAGTGTGGAAAAACAAAACAAGTCTTTTCTGAAGCAAAAAACATAGGTAAAAATTATATGTTATATCAGGCATATACCTCAAATGTGGATCTAAAGGAATAATCTTTGGGATAGAAAAGACCACACGTCTTTTTAAGAGTCTCTACACTACTGTGGTGGGACAAACTTTATTGTTCCTAATGTAGAAAAGAATTGCAACTAGTAAAATCTGAGGTAATGAATGACAGGCTGTTCTCTGATGGGACAGAGCTCATTGTCACACCAATGAGAAACTTTCTGACAAAAACACAGACATGACAGAGTCAAACCTCAGCAAACCTCCTGTTTCTCAATATAGAAACATAGAATCATCAGGGTTGGAGAAGACCTCCAAGATCATCTGGTTCAGCTGTCACCCTACTACTGATGTCACCCACTAAACCATGTCCCTAAGCACTAAGTCCAACCTTTCCTTGTACACTCCCAGGATGGTCACTCTGCTGCTTCCCTATCACATCCATCCTCTTTTCTGTAGGGACAGTTAAACACAAGTTTTGTGGCAATGAGACTGTAAATCACACAGGTGATCAGGATGATGAGTCCATGGTTATGGTTGGTGGGAAATTTCACAAGATGCCAAGTGCACTTAATGTTCTGCTGCAGCTGCAAGGAATCTCCATGACCAGTTTGCCACTATTTTAGGCAGGTGATTTGACTCAGTGTTAGTTAGAGAATATAGCAGAAATAGACAACTGGGTATTGGTAAAAAGGCTCATGTCATGCAGGGTATCCTATTGTCTCTTACCACAGCCAACTCAAGCATTGAGGGAAAACAGTGAAGGATTCTACAGACATGCTGGCAGAGCAGGCAACCACCCTTGGTCTACCCCCTGACTGGTAGTGCCACAGAGTCTTCATTGTCAGAAAGCAGCAACAATAATAATAATAATATCAGGAAGTGGCATTATGTATATCTAAATTAAGCTTGTTATTATTTCTAGTATAAAATTCCAGTTGTATTTTGCTCACCTGATGCATTTATCATGTTCAAAGTGTCTGCCTGTAAAATAATTTGAACATATGTAGAAAGCTACCAGGAAACAGGGTTCTCTGTTTTGACAGCAGTTCCTGTTTCAGTTCATGGTCTAGAATCCGAAATAAAAAGTTATTACAAAAACTAGGCTGCTGAGCAAATAAAGCACCCACTTTAGCTGCAGACAGCTGGGCCACCATTTTCAACCTGATGATTTTAAGATTTGATCAGTTTGCCTATTTCAAAGAATCTACCCAGTTTTCCTCTTTTGTTAGTAGACTCAAAAGGTCAAAGACTAAATTCAGCATCACCCTCATAAGTTTAAATTACTTTGTCAGTAACAGATACCATTATCTTCAGGCTTCTGCTTTTGTTCCTGTGCTTAATTGGAGATTGAAGATTTTAGAGACAATCAGTCAAATACCTTTCGTATATGTTCTTTAAAAACACAGCAAGAGTTCCTTGTTTTGATCAGGATTTCTGGCTAGCAAGTCTGAAAATGACATGCAAATTTTGGTGGCCAGACAGGTGTTTATGACTCTCTAATAGACTATTTCTGGGTTAGGGAGGTCTGGATTAATAAGAGGGAGAAGGGAGAAATATATGTCACCAAGAAGACTACTGTGTATTTTCAGAAATGTTTTGGAAGATATTTTCAGGTAGGGAAGAGACACAAATATCATATATATCTAGTGAGCAGGCACTGCACATATAGCTGCTGTTGAAGCTAGTAACACACATCTTACATTAAGTATGAAAGTATCAGTTCTTTATACTCTCCATGGGAGCTGGGGGAAATGTTAGGAAACATAAAAGGAAATAGCTCTCTCTGAATCAGGGCAACAGCTTTCTGCACAGATCCCTTGATATTCCTGTAGCAAGCAAAGTATTCTGACTTTGGTAATAGCACAGAAAGCAGGATAAGAGAGGCTTTTCTATTACTGCTGTTTTTTTTTTTTTTTTTTTTGCTTTTTTTTTTTTTTTTTTTTTTTTTCTTTTAGAAATGTAGAGCTATAAATGTAGGTGTTTTCCTCACACTGGGGGAGAATATAGAGTTGTCCTTTACATGCAGGTTTCCTGAACTTTAAACTGTCCTCACATCTAAAAATTAGGAGCATGTGGTAAAAGGTGTTTCTATGATCATGTAACATCCACGGTTTAACTGGTAGTACTGCCTGATGTTGCTGCATTACCTCTGAAGGGAGGAGGATATGGCATAATCTTCTGAACTGACCCCTACATCTGCTGCTAAAAAAGTCATCAGCTACTTCTAGCTTTCTGCACCATACAGAATAATGAAATACAGGTGCAGCAATTCCAATTTCTCCATTGGAGTGACATATTTCAAGTATTCTGATGGATAATTTAGCAGGCATTTTTGACGTTTTCAAGGGTGTATAAGTGTTCATTGGTGTTCTTGAAAAGGCTTTCTAACTGTGGTGCCAATGGCTATGTGTAAATAATTAGCAGCCTCCACAGGTTCAAGGACTTCCTGACATTTGCTAAAGAAACCACACTTTACAGATGTAAAGGTTCTTGACATGGAGTCTGCATATGTTCCTTGATTTGTAGGGGATTTTTGTTTGCTTGTTTGTTTATTTTTAAATAATATACCTATTTGTATGTACCAATGTTTTTTGTATATTTGATAGTGTTTTTAAGAGATACAAACAGAAAGTCTTCTCCAGAAAACAGATTATAATGTGACCTTCATGGCCTTTTTTTCCCTGTAGAAATACCTTCACAGTGAACATGAAAATCAATTGTACCCCCTTGTGATGAACACACCATGTGTTAACTCACTGAAAGGTAAGGTATCAGAAGCATTTTTTCCTTTTTCTCTTGGAACTGAGGTTATTAATTTCCTTAAACGTGTTTAAAGATGTACTCCAATTTTCATGGTTTTGGGGAATTGTTACAATTTTCTCCTTCATACCCTTTAAACATATAAATCAAAAAAGGATTGTAACTAAAACACAGAATTAATATATGACAGTAGTTAAAATAATTCACATCAAAACATTATTTATGAAAAGTGCCAAAGCTGTAATTTTGAAGAGATAGAGAGGCTGATGTATGTTTTATAACGTGTTAGCTATTTCACTTTCTGTTCCATATTTAAATCCACTATTATTACATGGGTTCAGGAGGTAGTGGAAAAGTAAAAGAAAATACTCTGGAATATTTGAAATATTAATCTTGTTATTTACATGAAGAGTAACATGGGATCAGGGCACATTCTTTGGGCCCTTAAAAAGCAACAGGAAGATCCCCTAACCCCATTCTGAAACTCCGAGTAGATCTGCATCTTTTATCATGCAATAGAGCCTAGCTCCCTAAAGAAGACAGAGAACAACATCATAACAAATCCTAAATTTAAAAATATAAGGGTAATGCCACTCACAAAAGTAACCCCATTCATGCACAAAGATGTTTGAAAGCTGAGACTATAAGACAATATTTTTTTATGTTAGTTATTTACAGGAAGGGGAGAGAACACTCTTCAGTATTTTCATTATTTGTCAAAACCACTGCACTTTAAAAAAAATAAGTCAAGAAATACATGTTATGTCTTACAATTTTTAAACTGGAGTATTTGTAAATGTACTGATGTACTTAAAAGAAATCTGCAATTCAATGATACAGATATGTGAAAAATGAATTCATCAAAAAAAAATATTAAATTATAGCATGAAATTAGTGAGATATAACTGCAGATTGGGAATATACTTGGGAAAGGGAAAAAAAAAAAAAAAAACACAATAAGAGCCTAAACACAACAAAAGTATTATGGGAGAAGAGATCTCTCAGTTTTAGGTAACTCCTGTAAAAAGAAGCATAAAAAAAAAAGTTGTTAAACAAAATTGATATATTTTATTTTTCCTGTAACTAGTAGCAAACATTTTTATCACTGATTTTTTATTATTTAGAAACTGTAATTTCTTACCTAAAAAGCTAAAAAGCTTCACATTCCCCTCTACTCTGATCATATTTCACTCCTTTCTATGGTATTCTTCTGCTATAACATTACCCTGCTACGTGCGTACACAAAAGAATTAGTTTGACAGCAAAGTTTTAGTGAAATATAGAAATGAAAGTAAAGCCAATCCTTTGCTTATCATCCAAGAAGAATTTGGTGTACTTCACTCTCTGAGCTTTAACAGTGTACTCCCTGCAGCAGGTCATTTACAGACCATCAAAACCTTTCTATTCTCACCTCCCATTTCCCTACTTGACCTCTCTTCATTAACCTAGCGATTTACCATGGCATTGGGTGGTGGATTTATCACAGAACCTGCTATGAAGTGGTCTCTGGGGGCAACAGAACTAAAGGTAAATTGCATTTCTTACCTAAAGGAAAGATTCTTTTTTTTCTTTTCTTTTTTCTTCTTCTTTTTTTTTTTTTTTCTTTTTCCATTCTCTTTTTTTCTTTTTCTCTTATCTTAAAGCATAACGTCATTGTCATGACTAAGGTCTGGCTAACGACATAAACAGAGAGCTATGGGCGAACATAGTATAATCCCTAGAATCAGGAATTACTCTGATGGGTAATATTCTTAACTTGATTCAAATATTTAATAATTTATGTTTTCTATATGGTTCGTCATTTTATATATTTACTTATTTATTTTAATGTTACATGCAATATTTTCAAGACTGATTCATTTTATCTCTACAACATTAAGGTGCCAACATTGTCCTGAAAGTTGAGAATATGGATTTTGAATGTAGTCTGCTGTGACTTAGTCTAAGATAAAAATACATTATATGCAAGAGTTTGCTTTGCTTTAACAAAGAAAATATCATTAGGCTCTTAAAAATCTGCATGGAAACAGTCAAAATGAAACCTGTTACACCTCTGGACATTAGCATGCCTCACAGAACTTTTCATAGTAATTTTGCAGTAATGTCAAATCTTAGCCTTTTAAAAATAGCTGGTTAACCCCACTACACATTTATTTTCAACTGTTAGGCTTGAGCCTTTCAGCTTCATTTGGTTTGCATTCTGTTTATTGATACTGAATTCACTGCTGGGCTTCACTTTTCCAGATTTCTCTGAACTCACAAAGATCAGTGACTAAATGAAGACATTTTCCACATGATTGTGTACCAGGAGTACCAGGAGTTTAAATTAACATTAGACTGACATATGAGGAAAAAGACCCACGTGTTTTACACACAAAAAACTCTCCAGTTTTAGTTGCTGGACTCTGAAAATTCTATCAAAGATGGATCCATTTTAATAATCCTATCTACTTGTTTGATTTTGCCCTTGGAGTTCAATCAGAAATGATTACCTATTTAAGAGGCATAAGAAGTGAGGAGTAGCTTTGCCCTATTGCACTAATCTTCCAGAGCAATTCATTCTTCCTCTAATGATTTACTCCCTCAAGACTGATTCTACCTATTTCCACCATACCTTCCACATAACACCTGTACAAACAACTTTGAAACAATTACCATCCTCAGCATACTAGGACATTTTAAGAAGTATAAGACTTGCAAATTGAAGTGGTAGTCATTTCCACCAACTTTGATTTAGGTTAATCATAGTAAATAATAATTAGTAATTGATATCTGAATGCCTTGCTATTGAAAGTTCCGCAATGATTACAGCACATCCAAGGATTTAAATGAGCAGTTACACTTATTTCAAGGCAAATGAGCAGGATTTGTGGTTGGAATAACCTTTCCTTAAACATGGGTTAAACTTTTTCATGCCTTGAATAATCCCACTGGAAGTGATTCAGTGCAGTTTATCACTTTTATCTCATGTGAATTACTGTTTCACGGTTTCAAGTCTCAAGATGAAAATTTTGGAGGCCCATGCTAGGTTCAGTTTTAAAGCCTAACATTTCTTTTTTGGTTGTTTACAACAGTCTACAACATATTATTCCTATCTTTTAAGTTAGATTTAATGGAAAATTAGGATGAAATGTAGTTGTTATAGTGAGCCTTGAGGAGTCTAGAATATCTATGGAAATACTAAGAGTGAAATGAACATGGTAAATTACTTACTGGTTACCTCTTGGATGTTCAAACTCCTTGCAACATTGTTTGATTCAAAGCCTGGTCATTTTCTCTATGATTCTGATATTTATTTATTTATTTATTTATTTTTGCTAAGGTTTAGTAGTGGGGAGTTTATTTTGGTTAAACATTTTCTCTGAAATATCTTGATATAAAATCAGCTTATTGAAGATGGCTTTGAAATGCCAATAATTGTTTCAGTAGTAAGATTTTATTTTTAAATAAAGAAGAAGTATTACAAAGCCTCAGAGATAAACTTGTCTTTTGATGCTTGCTCGTTAAACAAACAAAAAAAATATGATCTTTGGATTGCTGTTTGATTTCTGTAAGGCAAAATTGAAAGCTTGTGCTTTTAGGTAGATGCAATGAAATATAGCAGCTTTTAAAAACCTACTGACCGTCGGTGTGAGAGTTTGTGTGTGTGCACGCATGTGTGCTTGCAGGGAGGTGATGGTGAATGACGTTGAATAAGCAAGGCATTTGACTTGAAGACTGCTTGAGTTTGCCACTGTTGGGTGTTATCACCAAGCTGACATTTGCCTGGCTGTGTAAAACTGGTGTGGCTTTCAGAAGCATTAGTTAAATCTCAGAATTATTAGGACACAATAATAAACTCTTTCACTCCTTTTTTTTTTTTTTTTTTTTTTTTTCCTGTTCTACAATCTACAATTTCCTTAAATTCCCTATTCTAGATTTCCTTACAGATTTACAGACTTCCTTATTTCATTTCTTAAAGGAGATTTGCAGCTTCTCTCCTATTTTCTCTCCTATTGGTGTGAATTTATGCCAAGGTTATGATCAAACTCAACTACTCCTACAGCACAGGAGCGATTGAAACCTTTTAGCAGCATTCTAACTGTAACTTAGCACGCTAAAGCCAGTTACCTACTCAAAAATATTGTTAGACTGGTAAATTACACTTCTTCTGAAGGCATTATTCAAAAAATATTAATGTTACCTCACCTCCATGTTGTTTCATATCTCTGTGGTTCAGCTCCCCATTTGTAAATGAAATATTCACATACAGATGAAATATTCACATACATTGAAAGAGCATGATGAGAGCTTAATCATTCATATACATTATGAACATTATGTAAAGATGTTCATAAACGTATTGCTGAGAAAGTAGTAATATAATATAAATGGTTTCAGGATACTAGGTCTGCCTATCTAATGGTTAAAACCATTTTCAGAACAGTTACTAAGATTATGGCTTTCATCTCTTTGATATACACATTACAGTAGGACAATGCAGCTGTCTGAATCTTGTAAAGATGATGTATAATTCTTCTCTCATGGAAACGTTACCTTTGGTCAGTGTTGTGAAATAACAACTTCATATTCTACATTTGTCTAGAGAAAATTTACAGTCTCACCTGCACATTTTTGGATCATAGTGGCACCATTATGTAGGCATTTCTGCATGTGCATTTTGAAGGAAATAAAGTCTTCGAGGATACTTGGAATAGTTACAGGGTTAAAAAGTAGGAGAAGCAGGAATTTTAAGAGGCAGGAGTTGTCTAAATGTAGTTGTTCTGTTCAAATAAAGTTCATGGTCAAGGTAATAAAGCAAACAAAAAAACAAACAAACACTTCTTTTTCAGGTTAAAATTGACAAGCAAAATTGTATACAAATAATTATGCTCATACTTAAATTAGTTCTTTTATATTGTTAGAAAATCTTTTGGGGGAATTTGAAACATATTCTCCCTTCAGTGGAGTTAATTAGGTAGACCTTGCTGTCTTCATATTTTGGTTTCTCGCTGTTTTTCAAGTTTTACTAATTTTACAAATGTCTGTCAGCACTGCTAAGACTTAGTGATTCTTTGAACTAATGAGATTTTTTCCATAATGAGAGCAAAAAAGTCATCCAATAAAAAGAACTGGCATATTCAATATGTAAAATACATCACTTTCTAAAACCAAGCATGGGTGGTAATATGTTTTCTCACTGAGGTATACCTGCTTTTAAATGCTGACAAATCTCATGTGTTTCATAAAGATTATCATAGTAGATGTGTTTGGATCTTTTATTGACACTGTCCAGTCAGACAAATATAGGTTGAAACTTACTAATTGGTGTTTAGAAAAATCCTTTTGCGACTCAAGTTCAAAATGAGAATATAATGCCCTGTTTTTCAAGAGTTGTCTATTTCAAGGAGAGGTCATGCATGGTACTGACACAAATAAAACGAGAGTTAATTTCCTGTTAATGAGTTAAAGATGTCAAAAGGGCAATAGCTTTAGGGCTCAATTATGTCTCTACAGAAGTAGATGAGTGTCTCTGCAGAAGAAAAGAGCACATCAGTTTAGTTTTTTTACCTACCTAGTCATGTTTTATCACAGAAATGTCAATGAGTTCCTCCTTTTAAAGTCCTTTGGGCTTACATGTATTGTTTCTAAAATTGTTTCTTTTCATTTGGTGTTGGAAATGTAGCTATCGACCTTTTTTAAAAATTATTTTTAACTGACTATTTCTGTGATTTGCATTACAGTTTCACACGCACACACTCTCACACACACCATTTGTACTAGTAATGTGGATGTGCATTGAGCTATGAAACACGGTGTCAAGATTCAGATATGGTGTGAACTTCACCGTGTAATTACACCAATTGTCTTCGTGACAAAGATTTTCACATGAAGTTTATTTGCTGAATGATGCTGTTGAATGACTCACATGAAGTCTAGATACTAGATACTGTCCCCTGTTGTGCAGCTCCACACCCAGAGTGACACAAAAACAGATACCCCACCTTCTCACCACTTCTAGTACCCATGCACATAGCCTTTGTCACACTAAGCAGTGTCTTTTCTTACAAACTAACAGCAGCCCAAGAGAAGGCAGAAAGGTATCCACATATATAAGTCTCTTCCTTCTCTACTTGTATGTGTGGGGATGACTAGGGAGAAAGTTTAAAAACATCTGTCTAGGACTGAAGGACAGGAGATTCTGGACACCCATAAAAAACTCCTATGAAATGAATGAAAACTGAATGAAAAGAGTGTGGAAAAGAACTCACAGTCAGGATAAAAATGCTACAGAGGGAACTAAACTTCTAGACTTCCTCTCAGTGATGAACATGGTATGTCCACTGAAGGCTTGAAGGTTTTTTTTTGCTTGATATAACAACTTTACTATGACAACACTTACATCCTGCACCCACAGTTTCTACTCCTGCCCACCCTATCACCCGCAATCCATACATTGTTCTCCTCCCCATATATGCTCAAAAATGGGTATTACAAGGTCTAACAAAAATATATACATATCTTGGTATTATGCTTAAAGAACAAGC